TCCACTTCTGCCTCTGCTGCGGCCTCTGGGCCCTGCATCCACCAGCAGCCTCCAGGGCAGCCACCGCCACCACAGCTGTCCTCCCACCGTGGAGACCTCATCACGGAGCCCTTTCTGCCAAAGTCAGTGCTGGTAAAGTGAGGGCTGGTAGCAAGGGGGGGGAGACAGGGAGGGGATGGGGTGGAGGGTGTTGGGCATCTGCAAGACCCAAGTCGTCACTGGAACCTGACCCCTCTGGGGTTGGAAGATGGTCTCTTCTTCCAGGTCATTGAGACTTCTGGAGGGGCATGGGACCAGGGCTGGAGAGACTGAACTCCTTCCCCTGGGTTTTTAGAGCTGCTTCCTCTGCCACAGTCTAACCTCTTTGGGGACAGGGTTAGGGGTATTGATTCAAGGCCTTGTCTGCATACCCCCATTTGTGGGAGGTGTCCTGTCTAATGCCTGGGACAGTCCTTCCCAGCTGTCCTTCCACTTCAGTAAGGACAGACTGGACAGAACTCTGCAGCTCGTCAGTAACAACTAATGCCTACCTGTGGGGTTTAGCTTCCTTATCATTGAGGCCTTCTCCTCCCTTCTATGCTGGATCATATTAGCAGCTCAGTCTCCTATGCAGCCTTGGGGCAGCTTCCCTGACACAGGCCCTTGAAGCACGCCCTTGAATCCAGGGCTGTAGAGAGCACCTGGGGAGAGGAAGATGCTGAGCTGAGTTTCTGTCAGCCCTTCTGGGGGAGGGTGCAGTAGGGGCCATTTTTGTTTTGGTGGTTGGGGGATTTGTGGTATAATCAGATCATTGATGATTCAGAATGTGGGGCAAGTGGGGAGGGGTGGTTCTTGAAGTGGCTGAATCTCATTCAGTTTAAGACACTGGTAGCTGCAAGATCCAGGGTTACTTTCTGAGACATCCAGTGAGGAAAAATAAAGCTACCAGTCTCACTCTTGCCACACCAATTGGCTATGCGGGGCACCCTTACTTCATGAAGAGGGAGTTGATGAACTGTGGAACCTACCCCCTGCACTCCCCAAAGCTTATTAACCCCTTAACTGTGTCCCAGGGTGTGTGTATGTGTGTATGCATGAGTGCCCAAGCATGTGTGTGTGTGTGTGTGCGTGTGCGCGCTCAGAAGATGGCTGGACTGTCTTTGCTATATGTAAATAGGGCTTTTGGATCTTTATTTTTGATTAATTTGTTCTGATTTTTTGGTTGTTTTCTAAGGAACTGTAATGAACAAATGTCAGGATACCCAATGCCAAATAAAGATGTTGTATTTATTTAGTCCACGTGTAGCTTTCTGACCCAGGGGCCACGCTCTCTGCATAAGCACCACTACTAACCCAGGACTACCAGCCTTGCCGCCACTGCCCTCGCTTGCTCAGGAAGCCCTCCTGCCAGCCTACCCCAGCTCTCTTGTTTCTCTTTCCTCCCATTCCCACCACAGGTTGCTCACCAAGGTGAAGGGTTCCTAGTCGCCCGGAATGAAGACGGCCTGGCCTCATTCGCCTTTCTTGCCCTAGCCCAGCTGGGACCAAACTCTCTAATCAGTATTAGGGGGAGGGGGAGGTATCGGAACTCCTGGTCCCCACCACTCCCATCCTCACAAAGGCCTAAGCCCTAAGCCCCTGCCACCCCTAACATATTCCTTAGGTGAGTTTTTACAAATAAAATGTGTTTTACATCTTGCCAGCTTGGGTTGGGAAGCCTACAAAGGGCAAGGGAAGCACTTCAGCCTCGTGATCACAGGAAAGTTTTATTAGAAACAGCTGGGAGCTGGGGTGTTGCTCAGTGGTGGAACACCTGCTTAGCATGCATGAGGCCTTGGGTTCTATCCCAGTACTGCAAAAGGGAAAAACAGGAAGAGAAGCAAGCTCCAGGGCTCAGGAAGGTGGAGGTTCAGTCCTGCTGTTTGGTTCGAGAAGCCTCAGCGTTGGCTCGAAGCACAGCCCCTGGGGAAGGGTACGGACGCTGCTGGAAGAGGGGCCCAGCTGCTGTAGTGTCAGCACCTGTCTTGGCTTCATTCCGCTTCGGGAGTCCTGTTGACCACGTGCCCCTGGGGGTGACAAGGTCAGAGTGTGAGAAGGGTATGGCAGGCTTCCTCAACCAGCCAAGACTCAGGAATGGAGGAAAGAGGTGGCAAAGACAAGGGTTCTTGGGTGCAGTAAGTCAGGAGAGGAAAGAGAAAGCTCATTAGAGGCCATCACCTACCGGGGGGCATCTGAGTAGGAACTGGGGTCCATGGGGTCTAATTCTTCATCCTTTCGGCTTGCCACTATGGAAGTAAGTGGCAGGGCAAGTGCTTCAGTCAAGGTGTGAGGAGCCCCTGATCCCTGAGCACCCCATCCCAGGAAGAAATGGAGCCTGCAGCCACCATGGCTGGCAGCACCCTTCTCCAGGACCCAGATTTGGGCAGGATCCTTCGAGAAGACCTCCTCCCATCATGCGCCTGGGTGCCTCTCCTACCTCCCCCAGGTCCCAGTGTGCTCCACTTACCCTTCTTGCTCTTAGGGTAGGGAGCTAACTCCTCGCGGCGATGGTGACGTCGTTCTTTACCCTCCTCTCGGTCTGCCTTGTCATACCCACGATCACGATCCCTTTCCCTGTCTCGCTCTCGCTCTCTGTCCACTTTGTCATAGCCACGTTCTCGATCTCTGTCAGACTTGTCATGGTTCCGGTCTGACTTGTCATGGTTCCGGTCTGGCTTCTCGTGGCTCCGGTCAGACTTCTCATGGCCCCTGTCCAACTTCTCATGGCTCCGCTCCAACTTCTCCTCAGTATCTAGAGGGATGAGACAGTCTGGAAGTGTCCTCTTCCCACCCCAGAACCCAGTAGCCTCTGCTTTCAACAGTCTCACTAGGCTGGGCCTGGCCCTACCTGGTCTATTCTGCCCCTCCTAGAATTGATTGGCCCCTTTCTAAGAACTGCTACGATCATTTGAGGCACCCTCATATCTGCCAACTCACCTGCATTATTGTTCCTGAGCTTCTTGGCAGATTTGGTAACGACGGAGTTGGGGTCATGTGGGGAGAGCCAGGACACGAGGTCTGTGTCCACATTCCAGTAGTAAGGGAGCCCGCTGTGGGGCAGTGGGAGGGAAGGAATATCAGCAGGTGGCCTCTCCTGCTATCAGTTATGTTCTCCCCAACCTCTACCTTTGCCTACCTGCCCCATATCAAAACCCCCATATCTTCCCCTGTGTTCCCTGTATACCCCACAGCTAGGGACAACACAGGAAGGGCAAACTTAGAAGCCAGCTGCCCCTCACCCTAGATCTCCAAACTTACCAGGAAGGATCAAACACCTTATACCAGCTTGGTGGCAGGCCTTCCAACCGAGTGGCCTCATAGTCTACAGGGTCATCATCGTAGTCCTCAGCGATGATCTCTTCCTCTGGTTCTGGCAGAATAAAGAAGATAGTAGTTAAGGACCAGGGAAGTTTCCATTCTACAGTCACAGCCATGAAAGACAATGAAGTCCACACAAACCATGTGTGTGTCAAGAAGCATATAAAGGAAAAAAAAAAAAGCATATAAAGGTTTTTTTTTTCTTTTCAGAACCAGGGACTAAACTCAGACCCTTGTGCTTGCCAGAGAAGCACTTATTCTACTGAGCCATCTCCCTGGCCCCAATATTTCTTAAGTCCAAACCCATCTGCCTCAGTCTCCCACATGCTGGGAATACAGGTACATCTGGTCCCACTACATCTGGTCCTCACCATCAGTTTAGACTGTTAACCATAATATGTACGCTGGGCATTTAGGAGGCCCCCAAAACGTCAACTGTTGGTATGTTTGATAAGGTCTAGGTCACCACTATTAGGTCCATCACTAGACTACCTCTGAGGTAAATGAAGTATCAACACCTCGCACACAGGAGGCTGCAGGCTGGTTATCCTTCCTAATAGGTACCAGCTATCCTTCCTATTAGATAACATGACGTCACCCTCATGTATTGATTCACATCTACTTTAATTATTTTGGGGGACTAGGTCTACGCTGAGAGTGATCACTTGAGAGTGATCTCTGCCTCAGTGCCACCACTCCTGGTTTGATTTATGGATCAAACAGCATTAGCTGTCACTTCTAAAGACAAAATATCGGTCCTCCCTCTTCCCCACGCACACAAATCGTTGTCAGGAAGTAATACTGTTAACAATAACTGTCACCCCACTGCTTGGTGCAACCCTGTACCAGGTATTAGGTGTCAGCAGCGACAATAAAGTGCCTATCTGCTCTTAGCTAATCTCACCGGGCTCCAGATGTTTAAGGATGCCTCTCTTGGCCAAGCGGGTCTGCAGTGCAACGGGGAGCGGCATTGTGAGTAGCTCACAGACCTAATAACAGATAAATACACTGAATCTGGATCCAGTATCAGGCGCCTCCCCACCGCATGTACACGATCATCTGACCCCCATCTCGCAAATGTACCATTAACTGGGGAGATAAAACTTATCTGCGAAAAGGTGGAAGAGACAGTGGCACAGTCAACAAAACTTTCAGCAACCCAGCCCTCCAGGCCCAAGGCTGCAGGACCCAGGTCCGCGCTCAGGCCCAGGCTCCTCCCACCACCGGAGCCAGGCGCAACCATCCCCGAACCCCGACCCCCGCGCGCATTCTAGAAATGGCCTCACCCAACGTCACTCAAAGGCTGCTGGGTGGGAGGAACCAAGGCATTGAGGTGAGGGAGCAAAATACAGCACTTCCAGCTCTAAAAAATACACCCATCCCGGCATACCGATACAGTCGTGCGGTAATGGAAGGCTGTCGGGTCGGTCGCCTCTTTCTTGTTGCACTCTGATGGCCAATACTACACGCGTTTTTTCCTTCCAAAGCACGAAATGAGGCCCTCTTCCCGCGAGCGTTAAGGTTACTGGCGACACCCAGGGTTGAAGGGACTCGATGATGCGAACTTGGTTGACCAATAAGCATGTGCCCTCGGCCTGACGTTGCCAAACCATCCAATTGTTTTTCTGGACTCGGTGGAAAGCCCGCGCGCCCGTGTGCGTGGCCCTGGGGGCGGGGCCCGGCCAAGGTCCGGCAGACTGCGCGGCCAGACGCCAGCGCCATGGAGGAGTACGCTCGAGAACCTTGGTACGACGGTGGGCACAGGCATCCGGACGGTGCTGCGGCGCCCAGGCCAGCCATGGGAGGCGGGCGGGAGAGGCACCGGCTGCACACCGCCACGTCCGGGACTCGGGATACTTAGAAACAACTTCCGCAACCCCCAACTGACTCCTCCCACTAGGGCGCCTTTAAGAGGGTCCTCAGTTGGGTGCCCAAGAAAGTGCGGTACCCGACAAACTACCTCATGTTTATCCTGAGTTCTAATCTTCCTCGTCACGCTTAGTTAATGTAGAGAAGTGCTGGCCAAGTCCACTCTCGCAGCGGGGGGGAGGGGCGGCCGAGCAGAAACCCGCGGGGTTACGACGCGGGGCTTTTCCCAGGTCTCGTCTGCGAATGGAGGCGGGTCCTGGATGAGCTTGTTGTGGGCAAGAAGAGGTACTTGAGTCCTCAGGATCTTGGTTTTTCCCTCTCCCTAGGTCTCAAAGGTGCAGAGGGGGAGGAACTTGTTTGGACGTGCTCCTTGTGGGAAAAGGGGTTGCATCCCGTCCTGTTTGTGTAACAGCACTAGCTGGTTAACGCTTCTGTTGCCACGTGCCACCTCTGTATCTTATCAGTCCGTCTGAGCTTTGATATTAAAACAGATGCCTGATCTTTTTCTTGCGATCAAGAGTAGTATTTCTCCCCTTTTGCTTCGCTTCTCGTTTTCAAGAGGTTCAAAAAAGAGGGAAAAGACTAGCTTGTTATATTTTGAAGTGTTTCTTCCCACTCAAACTTTTCATTGTAGTGACATGATTTCTCGAGTTGAAAAGAGTCCAAGTAACAGGACCTGGTTGGGAAGGAGACTCAAGTTAACCCCACCCTTCCCTTCCTGCTTGCAGCCCCTGGCGGATTGTGGATGACTGCGGTGGAGCCTTCACGATGGGTGTGATCGGTGGCGGGGTCTTCCAGGCTATCAAGGGCTTCCGCAATGCTCCTGTTGTGAGTCCTGGGCTTCTTCCCCAGCCCTGTGCGGTCAGCAGCTTCACCCACACTGTTGGCAAGCAGCTTGAAGCTGCCCATCAGCATATGCTTACTCTGCTGTCTGCCCCCCTACTGTGTACCAGGCCTGGCTCCCAGAACTGGGGTTTTGGGGAAACTGCACACAGCTGTGGAGATGCTGTGCTTGCACAATAGTCCTGTGAGGGGGGACTGGACAGACAGACAGCTCATAATCCTGGGGCTCCATCCCCAGCCCTGCAAGTAAATCAGTCATCTGGAGACTGGGGTTGTGTAGCTTACTGGTAAGCACCTGCTTAGCATGTTTGAGGACATGAGTTCCATATCTAGCACTGCAAAAACAGAAAAGGAACGAAATCATCATGAAGTCCTAAACCGGGGTACAAACGCAGATAGATTTTTTTTTTACCTAGAGACAGATTCTGGGTTAGAAACATGAATATAGGGAAATGACAAGAGAGGCAGTCTTAAAACTGAAAACATCTTTTTAACAATTCTCTCTCTGACCTGCCCCAAGATCACATCTAATATGACTTTAACTACTATTCATTTGCTAAGATCTCTGCAATTAAAAAAATTAATCTTTATTCAATACAGGGTCTCACTACACAGCTTGGACTTGTAGTGATCCTCCTGTCTCAGCCTCCCCAGCACTGAGATTACAGGCATGAGCCATCAGGCCTGGTTTCAGTGGCCGGCTAAGCATGGAGCCGGCACAGCATGCAGTACTAGGGATCGAACCCGGGTCCTTGCGCTTGTCAGGCAGGTGCTTAGACCATTCAGCCATCTCCCTGGCCCTGCAATTTCTTTTTTTCCTTCAGTACTGGAAATTGAACCTAAGGCCTGCACACTGATCTATATCCCAGCACTTCATTTGATTAATTTAATTTTTTTATGTATTTGGTACAAGGTCTTACTACACAGCTCAGAGTCATAGTGATCCTCCTGTTTTCAACCTCCCCAGCGCTGGGATTACAGGCATGCACCACCATGCCCTGACTGGGTGGCCGGTTCAGCATCACCCGTGGGTGGGACTGGCATGGCACCATGCTGGGGATTGAACCCAGGTCCCCACGCTTGCCTAAGCAGGTGCTTAGTCCACTGAGCTATCTTGCCAGCTCTTATTTAATTTAAGACGAGGTTTTGCTAAATTGCCCAGGCTGGGCTCAAATTTGCCATCCTCCTGCCTAAGCCTCCCAGAGTGTTAGGATTACAGGTTTGGCCAATATACCCAGCTTGCAGTTTCCATGTGCATCTTTGTCCGTCTCCTTTACTCCTAGAACTCTGTTCCCTTGATCTTCATCCGTGGTTTTTGTCCTTGGGGTCTCAGCACATGTCACCTGCTATCTGCTAGACACCAAACCAGGTCCTAAGTACATGTTCTGTCATTGACCTCCAGTCTCCAGCTCCCCAGTGTACCCTCGCCTTAAGATTTTATCTGACTCTGCCTCAACCACACCTTTATCCTGTCTCCTGGAGTGCATGTGCTGTCTGAAGTGGTCTTCTTGATTTGCTCCAGGCTCACTATACCTGGAGCAGACAGGGGCCGGATCTACCTTGTTCACTGCTGTGTCCCTGCATGTAGCATGGTGCTAGACACATAATGGGTGTGCCTTAATTTCCTGAATGAATGTGCAAACAAGTTAATAAATTCCCACTCAGCAACCCAACTCTAGGAACATCTGTGTTGGCATGTACCTCAGGCTATTTCTCTGCATCAAATAGGTCTCTCCCTCCCTTTGTTTTGTTTTGGGTTTTGGTACTGGGAATGGAATCCAGGGCTTTATACATGCTAGGCAAGCATGCTGGCACTAAGCTACATCCCAGGCACCTCCCGTTTTGCAGTACTGTGGAATGAACCCAGAGCCTTTATACTGAGGTATAGCTCCAGCCCTTTTAAAGTTTTTGTTTGGTTTGGGTTTTTGAGACAGGATCTTGCTGTGCAGTTCAGGCTAGCCTTGAGCTCACTGTGTAGCTTAAGCTGGCCTTGAACTTTCAGCAATGCTAGTGCTGGGATTACAGGCATGTGCCACCATGCCAGGCTGAAATAGGATCTTGCTGTGTCTCTAGGCTTGGAACACAGCAGTTCTGCCTTAGCATCCCAAGAGCTGGGGTTACAAGTGTGAGCCACCATACCCGGCTTGACACCCTTTCTTTCTTTTCCCAGGGAATTCAACACCGGTTGAGAGGCAGTGTTAATGCTGTGAGGATCCGAGCTCCCCAGATTGGAGGTGAGAAACTTGGGGAGATGTGATGGCAGTGTTGGGGGTGGCTGATCTTTTTGGGCTAGACTGCAAGTCGGAGGGTCTAGTTTCTAGCCAAGACTTTCCCGGGGACTTCTCAAGGTAGGTGACCCTTTCCAACAATTTAATATGAAAGGACAAGGGTGTGGATTCTGGGGTTTAAATCCAAGCCATGGCTATTCTCTGTGGTGTGACTTTAGGTTAGTAGCATGGCCACTGGACCTTTTGTGTACCACGATAATGACTGCATTAATTACAGTGTTGATTTTTTTAAAAATTATTTATTTATTTATTTATTTATTTATTTATTTATTGTGTGTGTGTGGCCAGCTCAGCCCACCAGGGGGCGGGGCTGGCTGGCATGTGGTGCTGGGGGATTGAACCGCGGTCCCTGTGCTTTGCTTAGCTTGTTCTAAGTAGGTGCTTTCGACCACTGAGCCATCTCACCAGCCCGCAGTGCTGATTTTTAATTTTTTTTTTTGGATACAGGGTCTCCCTACATAGTTCAGATTCATAGTGATCCTCCTGTCTCAGCTTCCCCAGCTCTGGGATTACAGGTGTGTGCCACCACACCCAGTTTCGGGCCAGCATGGTGTGCCTGGTGTTCCAGAGCTGGCACAACATATAGTACCGGCGATTAAACTCGGGTCCTTGCGCTTGCCAGGCAGTTGCCAAACCACTGAGCTATCTCCCCAGCTACAGTATTGGTCTTTTAGTTTATATGATACTCGTTAACTGCTGGTTGCTATGCTAAGTCCTTTGATAATATTAGCTAATTTAAAATTGCAAAGTTGCTGGGCATGGTGGCGTATCCCTATAACCCCAGCACTAGGGAGGCTGAGGCAGGAAGATCACTGTGAGTTTAAGACCAGCCTGGGCTACAAAGTAAGTGCAAGTCCAGCCTGAATTGCATCAAAAACAAAAACTAATGATAAATATAATTGTGAGGTCAACAGAATATCTCATATAGATCCTAGACGTAGTAGGTAAGCCCTTGATAAACATTTTAACTGTAGGCGGAGTACCCCTTAATCACGATGCTAGAGACCAGAAGCATTTCTGAGAGTTTTGTGGATTTGGAAATATTTGTATATGCATAATGAGACATCTTAGGAATGGGACCCAAATCTAAAGATAAAATTCATTTACATTTCAAATGCAACTTACACACATAACCAAAAGATAATTTTATATAGTGTGTGTGTCTGTATGTATTTTTTAACACAGTTCTGAGGATCGGGCCGCAGTCCTCGAGCATGCTAGGCAAGTGCTTTAGCTCAGTGTTATAGTACTTAGCTAGCATGCATGGGGCCCCAGGTTTCATGCCCAGCACTGCAGAAGCGAAACAAAACAGATGGAGTTAATCTGTTGCCCAAACTGGTTTTGAATTTCTAATTTCAAGGGGTCCTCTTGCCTCAGCCTTCTCAATATCTGGGATTTTGAACACATTTTAGCATAACCAGCTAATTAGTTATACTTTTTATTTTTCCTGTACCGGGGATTGAACTCAGGACCATGTGCTTGCCAAGCAGCGCTTATTCTATTGAGCTATCTCCTCGGCCCCTATACTCCTATACTGTACTTTTGGTTTTTGTTTTGTTTAGATTTTGTGTGTGTGTGTGTGGTATTGAGGATCAAACTCCTGCTACTGTGGGCTGGGGAGATGATTCAATGGAATAAGCGCTTCCCTGGCAAGCACAAGGGCTTGAGTTCAGTCCCCGGTTCTGCCAAAAAAAAACCCCAACCAAACAAACAAACTCCTGCTACTCTTGAACTGAGCTATAACTTTATCCCTCTTTTGCTTTTTATTTTGAAATAATGGTCTTGATAAGTTGCCTGGGCAGGACTTGCACGTGTGAAAAAAACCCGTATAAATCTGCTTTTAATCATTTGTCCCCTCCTTATAAAGGCAAAAGCAGTATGGATGGCAATTAGATAGCTTGGAGTAGGAGCTCCACAGAGTAAGGACGGGCAGAATCTTCTGCCTCCCTCTCTGGCTAAGTTTGTCTCTGCCTTTTCTTTTTGGCAGAACCGGGAATTGAATTCAGGCCCTTGCGCTTGCCAGGGAAGCACTTACTCTACTGAGCCATCTCCCCAACCCACTGTGCCTTTTCTTTTCTTGATGTGCTGTTTGGGGCAAGGGATGGAACCCATGTCATGGGATGCTATGCATACTTCACTGCTGAGCCATATCCCCAAGTCTTTTTTCCTATGTTCCTAGTTGGAGCATTAAGCCTTAGAAGTCTCCAGAACCTGAAATGTAGTGTCTTGACTTTCTCAAGAACACTTACTGGGCCTCTGTCCCTCACAGGTAGCTTCGCAGTGTGGGGGGGTCTGTTCTCCACCATCGACTGTGGCCTGGTGCGGATGCGGGGCAAGGAGGACCCCTGGAACTCCATCACCAGTGGAGCCCTGACGGGGGCTGTGCTGGCTGCCCGCAGTGAGTACCCCAGCCCTGGTCCCAGCCCCTCGTGCTTTGTTCATCCTACCCTGAGTTCTGTCCCTGTCGTTCTCCCCAGGTGGCCCACTGGCCATGGTGGGCTCTGCAATGATGGGGGGCATCCTGCTGGCCCTCATCGAGGGTGTTGGCATCCTTCTCACTCGCTACACTGCCCAGCAGTTCCGCAATGGTGAGCCAGTGTGGGATGGGATGGTCAGGGTAGGTGGGAAGGGTTCTACAGGCCCTTTTACTTGTCCTGATCTCCTTCTTCCTTCTCCAGCACCCCCGTTCCTGGAGGACCCAAGCCAGCTGCCCCCTAAGGAGGGTACCCCAGCCCCAGGCTACCCCAGCTATCAGCAGTACCATTGAGGAAGCTGCCTGACACTGCGCCACCATGGGAACTTCCTCTCGGTCTCCTCCCCGATGATCTACCTCGAAGGGAGGGCTGGCTCCCAGTTAGCCCTGGGACCCTCCAGAGAGGGCCTCTACTCTGCTCCCTGTCCCAGGGTGGGGATGGGGCACCCCAGCTGCCCTGACAGATGGGTCCCCTTTTTCTCTCTCAGGGCACCCCAGCCCCACACATGTAACAAGCTCTTACCCCAGCTCCTTCGTGTGGCACCCTGATGAGTATTTAAAGCCAGTTTGGAAATGCGTGTGTATGTACTTCTTGAGAGGCGGCCCATACACCCTCGCCCCAGGGCGTGCGGGACAAAGGGACAAAGTGAATCCAGTATGTGAGTAAGGGTGTGTTCCTTGTGGTGAATCCAAGTGGATGGAGAACCATGCCGGGGAAGAGTGCAAAGACACTTGGTCACTGGAGTGTGGGTGGTCCTGACTGCAGCCCTGGTCACACACCAGCAGCTAGCCCTCCTCCCCAAGCCCAGGTGCCAAGGCTGGGGAACAGCCCTCTGGCTTCCTCAGAGAAGGAGTGTTCTATGTCAGTTTCCCCTACCACAGAGACACTTCTGCTCTGCCATTCAGTTGTCAGGGTTTGTTTTTTTTTTCTTTTGAGACAGGGTCTCTTTTTATTATTAATTTTAGTTTTATTGAGAAATATGAATGAGACAGTTTCAAAGCTGATTAATAGGACAGTTTCGATAATCAGTACACTGTACATTGTTATCTTCTTAGTGGTTATCCATAGTACAAGAAGCAGACAGGATATTCTGTCCAAACACTGTTAGTACACCTCTTTCTTCTCATTGAATTAAGTGAAAGTAGCTGTATATCTATCCTATTTTGTATATATAAATACAAAAGGATCTTTCCTTTGTATCCCCTTTTTTTTGTTTAGTCCTGTCAGAGGTGGATATTCTATTGGCATCTAAATACTATAGGTGTTTGAATTCAGCTAAACAATCCAACACTGTCTAGCAGTCTATAATATTAGTGGGTTATCCTCAGAAGTTATTGACTTGGGCCTTTTACAGCTCATCGTATTAATATGGCTTTACTTTATATACCTTGTTTTTATACTTTTCTGCTAGATGGTTAAGACCAAGATATAGCAAGACCTATATAACAAGAAATTTAACTTTTGTATCTGATAAGGTCAGTCAAGTACCCTCAGGATTTATCCTGTAACCCTGCACCGCACTTTGTAGATGCTTTGTCAGTGTCAGCCATGAGGATGAGTCACGGCCATTGCTTGACCAATTTGCTCTCTGTGAAAGCCTGAGAGAATGTTTTCTCTCCATGTGACTCTTCGCAGGCACTGTACATCATTGATCACATTCCCCTGTGACTCCATAATCTCCTTGATCAGAAAATTTGGAGCCAACTGAGTTACATGATGTTACAATACAGGTTCTCCTATGTCCCGAGTCTTGAAAGGCTAGGGCCAAAATGTTGGCTGACCTTGCAGCCCTTCCTTTTCTCCAATTTTAATCTGCTAAGTTAAGGTTGTTAACCCTCAAGAAGAGAAGCTTATTATTAACCTGCAATATATGCAGCTCGGTTTACCCTATCTAAGTATCAAACATCTTTGGCATATCATGGAACAGGTATTTTCCAGTTGAGACAGGGTCTCACTATTGCCATTCAAACTGGTGTTGAGCTCACTTTGTAGCCCAGGCAGGTCTGGAACTCATAATGAGTGTTGGCATTACAGGCATGTGCCACCACACCCAGCTCTTTTTTTCTTTTCAGACGGGGGTCCCACTATGCAATTGAAGCTGTTTTTTTGAACTCACATTGTAGCTGAGGAAGGCCTCAAATGCTGCAGTCCTCCTGCCTCAGCCTCCCAAGTGCTGGGATTATAGGAGTACACCACCACACTTGTCAGTTTGGTTTTTAAGAACCACAAATGAAAGGAGTTTTCAGCGTGAGATAGCGGAAGATTTTCCTGGATGGACATCACCCCTGAGTACTGTTACTTCTGCATCTGTGGCAAACATGGTCTCCTCTGGAGTGCAGATGCCCCTGGGAGGCTTGAAACCTCCCTTTTTCCTCTGCACAAACTGCTTGGTGCCATGGACGTCAGAAGACATGCAAACTTGCCTTGCAAGCCATTCAGAGGTTCAAGCACCCTTTCCCTTCTATGGTACTGTTCCATGGGAGGGCAAAGGCCCATTCCCTAGGGTTCCCAAGGCTGGGTGATAGGGCTAGAGGTCTGGTGGTGACAGAGCTGTGTAGCTCCTGCTTGAGTTGACCCCAGTGAACACCACCCCACCATGACCCTCTGAAGGGCTGGATGGATTACAGTAGTGGGCACCATGCATGCAACTCAACATTCCAGCTGGAGCCTGGCCTGTGGCCAGTAGTTGTACCCTGTGTGAGCCCACAGTGCCACCATAGCCAGGACAGCTAGGGTGTGGATGTCAGGGCCGTCAGCCCCTCTGGTCCTGCTCCTTTTGCACTCAAGGCTCTGCCTGCCATTCCAGTACCTAGGCTCTAGGTGTCTCCAAGCCTTCACCTACTGTAGCCCTGCCTGCCTTCCTACCCCAGGCTTTTCCTTTCTTCCTGTGGGGCCCCACAGGGCTGCAGACCCTACCTCCTCTCTTTTCTATTTTGTGACATGTGGTCTCACAGTGGAACCTGGGCTGGTCTTGAACTTACTATGTAACCCAGCCTGGTTTCAAGTTCACAGTGATCCTCTGCCTCAAACTCCTGAATACTGGGATTACAGCCATGTGCCCAACCTCCTCCATAAACCACTACTGTATCTACTTGGTTCCCTATAGACGCTGAAGGTTCCAGGACAGGACTACCTTGTCCCACCTTGAGGCCCAGCCCCTAGACTCCAGGGTGTCTGGCATGTGAAGATCACCAGGAGTTCAAGGCTAGCATGAACCACACAGAAAGATTCCATCTCAAAAATAGGGGCTGGGGAGATAGCTCAGCAGTCTAAGCAACTGCCTGGCAAGAGGACCCGGGTTCAATCCCCAGTACCATATGCTGTGTTGACCCCAGAACCCTAGGCATGCCTTGCCAGCCACTGAAAATGGGCATGGTGATGCACTCCTGTAATCCCAGCACTGGGGAGGCTGAGACGGGAGGATCAGTACGAGTCCCAGCTGTGAGACCATGCTGTGTACAAGACCCTGTACCAGTAAATAAATAGTGCAAGAGAACAGAACAGATAGATGATGATGAGAAACAGAAGCATAGATGTGCACTTAGGAAGAGGGGACGAACGAGAGGCAGAGAAACACCCAAGAGACAAATGAGAGCTGCAGGCAGAAGCTGTGCAGGCATGCAGGCATGGAGACAGAAGCTATACATCATTAGATGCAGGAGAGGACCCAGGTCAATTCCCTTGCCCACTGGGTTGGACTGGGCCCTTGCAGCTGTTGGGTGAGGCCGGCTGCCCTTCACCTGGAGCCCAGGGAAGGGACTCAGAAAGGTAGATGTGCAGATGGGCATTTCGCCTGTATCCTGTTTCTTTCCTTTCTTTGGTGGTACAGGGAATCAAACACAAGGCCTTTGATAGATGTGTGCCAAGCTTGGGCTTTGCCATTGACCCTTAGCTTCTCAACTCCTTTTTTTTTTTTTTGCAGAACCAGGGATTGAACTCAGGCCCTTGCGCTTGCCAGGGAAGCGCTTATTCCACTGAGCCATCTCCGCGGCCCCCTTCCATCTTTCATGATCCACCTTCCAGCCCTCTACCCTGCTTTAGCTTTTGTCTCTGGATGTGGCTCTCACTGGCCACAGCCCCTGGCTTTGCAACCACTTGTCTCCAGAGGGAAGAAGGGAATCTATATGTATTTGGTGGTGAAGGGGGACTAGGATGGTAGAGTCAGGGTTCAGCAAGAGGGTCCAGCTCTGACAGCAGGGTTGGGGTCACCCTGTGCACTTCTGGACACTCTTAAAGGCTAGGGAGAAAGGGAAATCAAAGGCAAGTACAGAGAAAAAGATACACAGAATAGGAAAAGATAGGGAGAAGGATAAGAAAGAAGACAGGGGCCGGGAAGATAGCTCAGTAGAACGAACACTTGCCTGGCAAGCTCAAGGGCCTGAGTTCAATCCCCAGTTCCGCAAAAAAAAAA